GAAGAGGGATGGGGTTTGAAGGAGGAGAGAAGCTGGACCGAGTACGAACAAAAAGCCTAGAGGAGAGGTGGAGCTGAGGGCTGGTGCCCAGGGGACGCCCTCCAGCCAGCAGGGGGCGTGGGGCACCCCTAACCCTCCGGGCGCGCGGACAGGGTCCTGCCTTGCAGTCCAAGGCCCACCTGTGCTCCCCCTGATGGACTGGGATTCACTCAGGACGGCCAGATTTAGAGGGCCACAGGCCCTGCGGCTTTGGAGCCCTGCCCCTCAGCTCGGACCTTGACACCCTGTTTCTTGTTTGGCATAGGGGGACGCTCAGGCAATCGTAGGACTGGCATAGGGAGTAGGTGGCCAACGATTTCAAGGTCCAAAACAGGAAAGTGACACAAAATAATCACGATTACTGATTTTGTGTCCTTTCCCACACTTTAGAGAAGGGTTTTGCGCATCAATTCATTGAATCCTTATAAGGAAACAAGGTATTCCTATTCCTATTTGGTATCTGAGGCAGAAGGACATTAAGTAACTCGCTAAGAAGCTACAGCTGGTCAGGGGGACTGGGGAGTCTGAGTCCAGCTTTGAGCACTTTGCCACGCTGGCACATAGGACACAGGCTTTGCAAGTACGGACTGACGGCACCCAAGACCTGAGAGGCTGAGTAGCCGTTTTTCATGGACAGGATTACCCTTCTTACTGGGACACTATTTGAAAACAAATGGCAGACAGGGGTAAAGTTTTAGGGACAACCAATGTAATATTGAGGCTGTATTATTTTTATAAACTGGTGATACCTGTGACTTGTAATTTTCCAGACTTTAGGAGAATGGTAATGACATTAAGCTGTAAGCTAAAATTTTAATTACATGTGAAACCCTCAAGTATTTAGAGCTATAATTTTTATTTTTTTCAGGTAAAACTCATCAGTGCTTTGAAATAAACAGCTTTCAACCAAAGGAGTTTGATACTTAAATAAAGAAGATGGTGAAAGAAAAGAAAAAAGAGAAAAAGATAGAAAAGTCTGTCTACTCTCCCTCATCTCTGTCTGATAATCCAGAGATTTCCAAGCAAGATGGCAATTCTACTAGACAAGAAATGTCCATAATCACTACCCTACTACCACTGGCACTAAATGAGCAGGGATTAAAAAATGGGTCCAGAAGTGATCATCAGCAAAATGAAGATGCCACTCGATACGAAGAGCCCATTCTGACCAATCTCATCATCGAAAGGTGATTTTTAAAAAAATATGTTTTTATTGATTTCAGAGAGAGGAAGGGAGAGGAAAAGAGAGAGAGAGAAACATTAATAATGAGAGAGAGTCATTGATCTGCTGCCTCCTGCACTACTGGGGATCAAGCCTGCAACCAGGGCATGTGCCCTGACCAGGAATCAAACTGAAATCTTCTGGTTCATGGGTCAACCGCTGAGCCATGCCAGCCAGGCCAAAAGGTGATCTTAATGGGCAGTATCATCCATGCTCCCTTTTCTACCACATTTATGTACTCTGTTCTCTCTCTCGGCAACCTCTGACCATAGCTTCATGTACCACCCCTCCTAGATGACTGTAAAAATCTATGTTGTTAGCACTGTTCCCTCTCTCAGAGCTTTATAGGTTCAAATGTTTAACTCCCTACTGTACATCGTCCACTGGACTTCACAATCCCTGTGTCCAAAGCATAGACGGCAGGACTTGGAATAAGACGAGCTGGATTTGAGTCTATGACATCAACCCCATCGCTGAAACTTCCTGAGCCTCAAGATCTTAGTTGGGGAAAATAACAGAGAATACACACCTTAGAAGGTTCCTCTGAATGTGGCTGTTTCTCTCCCAGGTGTTGGCTTCTCCTTTGGCCCTGTTTCTGTAAGGGCACCGCCGTTTTCTTGTATATCCAGGCTTGAGATCAGAGGACTGACCCCCTCCTTCCTTGTGCCATTCACATTTCTTTTTCCTGTACGCTACTCTCACTAGTCCCTTTCTCTATACATAGGCTCTTTACCTCTTGCCTGGCTATTGCACTAACTTCCCAAAGATTTCCCTGCTTCTTGGCTCTCATCCCAGGTCTCCCGTATAGATCTACCTTCCTGTTTACATCACTCCCTGTGTTAGTTATCTGTCTTTGTAACAAATCACCCTAAAACTTGACAATAAGTATTGTCTCACACAGTTTATTGGGGCCAGGAGTTTGGAGGCAGCTTAGCTGGATGGGGTTAGGTTAGGATCTCATGAGGTTCAGTCAAGATTCCAGCCAGGGCTGCCGCCATCTGCAGGCCTGGTTGGGTGGACAGTCTGCTTTCAGAGTGGCTGTTGGCAGGAGGCCTCCCCTCGGTTCCTTGTCACAGGGACCTTCCCCACAGGGTTGCTTGAGTGTCCCCACGACATGGCAGCTGGCTTCCCCGGACAGTGATTCAAGAGAGAGCAAAGGCGGAAGCCACAGTGTCTTGTAATCTAGTCTTGGATGTCACCTGTGGTCGTTTCTGAAACATCCCAGCAGCCACGCAGGTGGGTCCTATTCAGTGTAGGAGGGGACTCCAGGAGGGCATAGAGGACCGGAGGTGAGAGTCACTGGGAGCTATCTGGAGGCTGGCTACCACCTCCCCTGAAAAACTCTTACTTTCTTTCCATTGTCTGCAGAATAAAACACCTCAACCTGTCTCTCTGCTCCCAGTACAAGAGCCCACCTAGCCTTTTCCCCACGATTCCATTTATTGTGATCTTTGCTTACAAAGATCACCCTTCCTGGAGTGTTTGTCCCTCGTTTCTGAATGACGAAATCCCACCTCTCTTCAAGGTCCAGTCTTCTCCATTGCTTCCCAGTAGGAAGTAAGCTTCCTCAAAACTTACTGATGACTTCCTATTATGTATTCCTGTATGCATAGTATGGATTACGTCCTATTACATGAGTTACTGTAACTTGTTTATAAGCCTCAACTTCTCTTCCAGGCTGAAAATTCCTTCATAGCAGAGATACACCCAGAGTATTAAATTAAACACCAGATCTCAGGCCTCGCAGGCGCTCAGTCAGAACTCACAGTTCGAATGGTGTCAGCAGCCATTGACTAGTGAGCTGCTGAGCTGAGCACTATAGAAGGCTATTGAAAAGTATGAAATGTGGTCTATACCATGCCCCCCTGCCCCCACCTGGCCTGTGCCTCTTCTGTCCTTCCTCCTGACCTCTGTCCCTCACTCCGCGTGCTCCATCTGTGCTGCTTTCCTCTCTGTCTGCTGAACTTCCTGCCTCAGGGCCTTTGTACTTGCTGTTCCCTCTTCCTGGGTTCCTCTTCCCAGGGATGTTCTCATGGATGTTTTGTCTCAGGCCCTTTAGGGCTCGGTACAAATGTAGCTCATGTCCCCAGAGAGGCCTCCACCCTAACTGTCTGTATACAGTAGCCTCCTCCCCTGGTCACTTCTTTCACAAAAATCGAATACAATCTGAAATTACCTCATTCATTTGTTTCCTGTTTATTGTCTGCCTCCTTTCAGCGAACTGTAAGCTCTCCAGTCTTGTTCACAGTTCTCGCCCCGACTCTGAGAAGGGGACAGGCATCCTGTGGCCCCTGGGGGATATTTGTGTTGCTTCACTCCTGTCAATTATATACCTGAACCCACTGTCACTTAGGTTCACGCTCATCACTCGTGACCTTGAGTTTTCTTTCTCTGTAGCTATGAAGGGGAGAAAGTCCACGGACTGTACGAGGGAGAAGGCTTTGCCGTCTTCCAGGGAGGCTGCACCTACTGCGTGAGTCACACGTTTGGGGACTGGGTGGGGGGAGGTGGGGCGATAGTTTTAGATTTGCATCTTCAGACAGATCCATTGGTTCTTCACACGACCTTGGAAGCACTTCATGCTGACTTTATTGTGAACTCTGATTACTTATTTTAAGGTAGAAACGTAGCTCAGTGGAACTGATTTAGTCATTTTTTAAATTTTTTCTTTTCCTCATTTTTTTTTATTGTATAAACAACATTAACGTCACTACAGTAAATAATGACGAGTGAACCCTCAGTATCATCATCCTTTTGCCATAAATGTTTTGTTTTCTGCGTGTGTGCTTTTTTCAAATTCTCACCCGGGAATATTTTTTACGTTGCTTTTCAGAGAGAATGGAAGGGGGAGAGAGAGAGAGAATCATCAGTGTTGTCCTCGGGCTGACGCTCTAACCACTGAGCCAAACCAGCTAGGATATAAATGCTTTTAAAAAGATATTTTATTGATTTCAGAGAGAGGAAGGGAGAGAGAGAGACAGAAACATCAATGATGAGAGAGAAACATTGATCGGCTGCCTCCTGCACGCCCCCGACTGGGGCTCGAGCCCCGCAGCCCGGGCATGTGCCCTGACCGGGAATCAAACCCTGATCGCCTGGATCCTAGGTTGATGCTCAACCACTGAGCCACGCCGGCCGGGCTGTAAATGCTTTTAATTTCCTGTTTTCCTTTCGTTCCTTGAATGGATATATCAGTATTTTTACCTGGGCCTATTAATTTTGTAGATAACGTCTCAGATCTGTTTTCACTTCCGATTCCATCTTTGTATTGCTACCTGGTTTGATAACTTAAATTTTTTTGTTGTGGTAAGTATATTTAACATAAGTTTATCATCTCAACCATTTGTAAGCGCACAGTTCAGTGGCATGCAGTGCACTTAGCAGGCTGTACAGCCTTCACCTCTGTCCGATTCCGGAACTTTATCACCGTCCCAAACAAACTCTGTACCTATTGAACACCAGCTCCACTTTTCTCCTCCATAATTACGTTAAATGTTCGTAGTGTTCTAAGTTACTATTCACAACCATGCCATAGTTGTTGGATACTTTTGGAGTGCTTTCATTTTTTTGCCTTTGTTAATAATGCCACAGTGAGAGGGTATTCATTCATTCATTCATTCATCCATCCATTCATTCAAAGTATCAGAGCAATGTGTGATTATTATAGGAGCACACATTTTTGTGGTTGAGGCCATAGGCATGAATTTTAGTACCTGATTTTTTCCCCCCTTAACATCCAACATGTTCGATTTCCTGTGTCACAAAAACTCAGAAACGCAGAGACATTGAATTCAGGCTCACGTTTCGCAACTGCACAGACCTGACTGCCTGGTGTAAGTTGTAGGGAGCTGGATTTTTTTGGGCTCCTGCTCAGATGCTCTTTAGAAAAGGGTGGATGCCGGTCCGGTGCCAGCTCAAAGGCACACTCTGCTGCCATCGCTGAATGTGTGGACACGCATGTGCATGGGTGAAAGGGGAGGAAGCCGTTGTGTGAAACCCGTGACTGGTCCCAAGGGCTTATTGTTCTGTTTTGAAGGGTATGTTTTCAGAAGGACTCATGCATGGACAAGGGACTTACATTTGGGCCGATGGAGTGAAATATGAGGTAAAGCATGTAATACGTTCTAATTCTAAACTGTAATTGTCAGACTTAGTGGTCGGGTCCCCACAATTAAACATATTACTTTCATAAAAGTAACTCAGCACGTGGGTTAAAGGAATCCACAGAACCAAAGAATGTAAGTGGAAAGTGACTCGTTATGACTGGGGACCCTCTGGTACTGTGTTAGCAGAGTCCTTTGTACGTTCCAGGAGGCTCTGTGTGTGGATGGCATGCCTGTGTGTACCGGGCGTCTCCTACCTTTTACAGACAGTTTATTATAGACCCTCCTCTGTACCTTCATTTTGTTGAGATCAAACAATAGCCATCCATTCAGATTTCCCCGTTTTCACTGGCTGCTTGTGTTTCACCACGTGGGATTCACTTAAATCTTGATGGGTGGAGGGGAAGATATATTTTTTAAAAAAAATATGTTTTTATTGATTATTTTTAGAGAGGAAGGGAGAAGGGAGAGAAAGAGAAACATTGATGTGAGAAGGAAACACTGATCAGCTGCCGCCTGCGCACCCCCTACTGGGGATCGAGCTTGCAACCCAGGCATGTGCCCTGACTGGGAATCAAACCAATAACCTCTTGGTTCCCGACAACCATTAAACCACACCAGCTGGGCAGGAAGATGTATTTTTTATTTTTAAATATTTTTAAAATCCTCACCTGAGGATATTTTTTCCATTGCTTTTTCAGCAAGAGTGGATGTGGGAGGGGGGGAGAGAGAGAAAGAGAGAAAGAAGCATCGATGTGAGAGAGACACATCGACTGGTTGCCTCCTGCACAAGCCCTGACTGGGGCCAGGAATTGAGCCTGCAACCGAGGTACGTGCCCTTGGCCCAAATTGAACCCAGGACCCTTCAGTCTGAGGGCTGACACTCTAACCACTAAGCCAAACCAGCTGGGGCAGGAAGATGTATTTTTAAATTGATTGCTAGAACCAAACTGCCCTCCAAGAGGCGGTGCAGATTTCAATTCCCACTCACAGCCTCCTTCGAGGCAGGTTCCGAGAATCCAAGTTCCCAAAGCCAGGGTGTCACCTGCTTGCTGCTTGGAGCTCAGTCTGCACACAGCCTTCTAGATGTTTTCTTCTGCTGGTCTTCTCCCCAGTGGAGGGACCAGGCGAGGGAGGGCAGGCTGTGCAGATGAGGAAGTAGGCAGGTGGAAGCAGGGGGATATCTGAGGGTTTCCACGGGAGGAGAGACAGGTATAGATGGGTAGTCAAGGACGCATCCTAACCATCCCCCAGGCTCAGGGATCTCTCCAGCATCTGCTTTCTGTCACTCTTTTGGCTGTCTTGCCTTAGGGAGACTTTGTGAAGAACATCCCCATGAACCGCGGCGTGTACACGTGGCCGGACGGCAGCACCTACGAAGGGGAAGTGGTCAACGGCATGAGGAACGGCTTTGGCGTGTTCAAGTGCAGCATGCAGCCCATGTCCTACATCGGCCACTGGTGCCAGGGCAAGAGACACGGGAAGGTGGGTGAGGTGGCCAGTGGCGCTTGGTTCTTAAGGAGTAACTGGTTTGTGGTGTGGTCTCATTCTTTCTTGGTGGACACTTTACTGTATTCTTGATCACAAAACAGAAATATAATATGGACTGTGTGTCTTGCCTAAGTGTGATGTTTGACTTCTGTATAGTTTAGGCTCCTCAAATTAATTTCTTTATCTTTGTTTTTATCTTTACCTATAAAAAAGCAAGCATTTGTTTTATGAGGCTTGATTTCTAAAAAAATGATATTATTTATTTTAGGGCTCCATTTATTACAATCAAGAGGGTACCTCTTGCTACGAGGGGGACTGGGTTCACAACATCAAAAAGGGCTGGGGGATAAGGCGGTAGGTATTGCCGCTCCTCATCTGGGGTGTGGGCTAAAGGTGTGC